CCCCAAAACCCCAAAACCCCAAAACCCCTCAATGCAAATCTGTTTGTTTAACTCAGCTTAAATGATAAATTATTAATCTTAACCTTATAAATCGAGAAAGAATAATCGAATCAGAGATCATTCCTTAATCCTCATTATATAAGATATGTTATTAATCATCTCCCTTGTATAATTAGCAATCACTTCTTCTGTGATCTCTTCTCAAGCAATTCCATAGTGTGAGTCATCTGATTGATCTTTCTTTGCAATTTAAGCTTGGCTACCTTTTCTTCCTTAATCATACTCTGCAGTTACTCCAATCTGTCCTTTTCAGCTACAGAGAGTGAGGAAGCTCTATCAACCTGAACACTCTTTCTAGGCATGGTATGGCTGAAGTCACCAATGCCTCTTCCATTAAAGTTAACACTGCCGGTAGCACCTAGTCGTACCAAGTCTTTCTAGCTTCCTGTACTTTGAAGAGGGCGACGCATATCAACGCTTTATGCTAGTGCTTGCTGGTTGGCATTTCGCTGCTATGCGTATTTTGAGTTTAATCTCACTGATTATTATTGTCTAACATTTTACTATGTTGCTTGATCACTCTAACTTTAAAGGAATCTTGAGGAGAAAGTAGATCCGGGGTTGAATATATCTTAAGATATATTTTTAGTGTATTTGTAAATCCTACCCTCATCCTCTTTTTTCATTCCACTTGGAAGTTAAATAATCGGGGTTCCTCTTTCATCGATGATGACAATTGGATTCTTTCTGGGCTAGCCTTGGGGTTTCAGATTTTCAGACTCTAGAGTCTTGAAGTTATACTGCATTGGCCTTAAATATTGCCTCTAAAGATTAATTTTGTTGTAGCCGTCCAAGATGGCATCTTTAACTTCAACTGATCGCAGCATTTTAGTGAGTGTGTTTGGATCTTCCTTGCTCTATGAGCCTGTTGAGAACTTACCTAGGGTCTAAGTCATGTAAAGTTTCTCCTCAGGGTTAATGCGATACTCGACTGCTCCTATTCTTTAACCGACGTCTCTCATGCTGTTAGGGTCACTAGCTACCACATAGGTTGAATCCAACATATAAAATGGTTTCTACTTCACCTTGTTTAAGTCTTAGTTTAGACGCTCATACTATCTGACTGGGCTGAATCCCTGAGTTGACTAGAATACATTCTTGCTTCCACCCTGTCTGCTCTTAGTGTCATTGATAATCATATCTGCTCCTCCGACTGCTCCTCCTTTTTTGTTCAGAGAGTCCACTGACTGCCTCAGGTTTTATTTGGCTGATCCAGAACTCCCAAATATCTATTAGGTCTAAGAGAAAGTCTTGGATTTATCGCCAGTCAAATCACCTGATTAAAGCAAGCTCTTGAACTTATTGGAAGCTGCTAGTTCTTTGTTTACTCGTTGTGACCAACCTACGTGCTAGTCCTGGAATATTAGTGGGCTTGCATATGTCGCCATTTCTCAATCTACTTTAAGGATGGAAACTTTATTTTAATTGTGTTTATCTTTATTTATATATTTATTAGACTGTTTTATTTTAATTAAACGAATACTTGTTTTTATTCAAAAATATCCAATAAGCATCTAGTACGGGGTTTTGGGGTTTTGGGGTTTTGGGG